AGGCAGAGAGGAGACTTCCTCACGTACTTGATTGGCTTGGTGGAACAACGGGAAGGAGAACATGGTTTCTGCGCGGTTGAATCGAAATGAGCCCAGCAACGGTGCACACATTGAGAATGATGATGCGTGAGGAGTTCGTCAACGGCATACAGGAACTGGAAAAGAACATCACTTCCAACATTGGGGCCATGGTGGATGAACTTCGGGCCGAGTTGGTTGAGGAAAAACTGTGTTAGAGTCGCGGTGGTTTCATCCCTCAAGTGGAAAAAATGCAGATGCAGATGTGGACAAATCAGTGGTAGTCATCGGTGGTTTTGGCGACAAAGCCGTTGAGGAAGTGGAGTCTATCGTGAAAGAGCTGATGATTACGGTCAATGGTTATCAAGATGCCCAGGTTGTTGAAAGCACCCCTCCTCTTTTTTTTTCTCGCATCCAGAGCAGCGGCGACGAGGTGAGACGGGAAGCCGGTCCGGGAACTTGCATTGGCACAGTTCGATTCCCCCATTCAAGCTATGAAATTCATCCGTGCACAAAAGAAAAACACGCACATGCAGCTCCACAACTTGTGGGCTTCTGCGAACCGCAGCAAAAAGGAGCGGATGCGCTGCAAAGCTTATAGTAAACTCAAGAAGTTTCTCATTGAGTTGGGAGGGTTCACACCGAAAAACGTCGTGGTTTCCTACAAAACGTTTCAGGTGGCGATCCGATCTGAAGGAAAAGTGACGTTGGTGGCGTCCATCAATGACAATTGCGAAGTGACTTGGGAGGAACAGGAGCTGGTGGGACAAGAGGTCCGAGAGGTTTTCGATGAGTTCCTGGCTGACATGGAGTAGGGGCACATGAGGTCCGGAAATGGTGTCTACAGAAAGTTTGTTGCTTGCAATGGCGGACTGCCAGGGCTCGGAACAACGGTTGATGTGCACCATGAACACTTTTCAATGCATGTTTGCACGAAAAATTTGCAAAGCATCCGAAGCGATGCCCGGTTGGAAGATTTGTTCAACGAGCTGGCGGCGTGTGACTATGATGTGTTTTTCCTTTCCGAAACATGGAAGAGCCAAACTGAGGAATCGTTCGCACTCATGGTGGTACATCCTGGGCCCACCATGGTCATTCAAAAACTGTTTCCAATTTTTGATCTTGGAATTTTGGCGAGGAACTCGTTGTGAAGAAGCGAGCCAATGCAGAAGGCAGTGGACACAACGTTGATCCAATCCAATAGGCAAACCACCATCATGCCAAGTACGCTGAACCAGCGCACGGAACAGAGGCGTTGAAATCCCCACCAATCACAATCCGAGTGCATTGCACACCCTCAAGTACAAGGTCAAGTAAGTGATATGTTCCTTCCACTTCTGCTATATCATGCCAGGACGTCGGAAAATATGCCAGCAGGGCAAATCTCAAATCGTAGATCGAAGACTTCAAGAGACACAAACAGGCAGAAAACGGATGGAACGAAACATCTTGAATTTGTTTCATGAGAGGTGGGGTTAAAGCAATCCCAACACCATGCTGCGCACAAAATTTTTGAGAACATTACAATTGCAATTCTGGAGGTGTGGTTTCGAGATGCTGCAACTCAATCTGGTAAGGTGGAATCTAAAATCAGCAGATTTCAGCCTTCGGACCTGTTGCGTGGATTGCGGAGCCGTCGGCGGACCGAACCACGCCAGCATATTCGGAAAAATTTGAGTTTCCAAATTCGAAAAAATGCATCGCAAAGAATTCCGCCAATGGAAGTCCTTCGTTTGTTGCCAGATACTGCTACACGGAAGGAACTCAGGAGACAGATTCGACAAACGTTTGCTTCGCTGGCCGTATCCCAGCCACCAGTGGCTGTTTTGTTGGAAATTTTTTTTCGTGGGACCACCGTCGAACCCCAAAGACCGGATCATGTGGAAGAACTGGAGGAACTAACAGCTGCAATCAAGAGGCTTAAGTGCAAACGTGGTGCTGACGATGCTGGTTTGGCTGCGGAACTTTTGAAACATGCCCCCATTGAAATTCTACATGTGGACTTGTGGCGCTCCTTGATGGACGACTTCGTGCGATTTTGTGTCCGGAGTTGATTTCATTTCCCGGGATGATGTTTTTGAACCACAGAATTTCTTGTTCTTCACCACGCCTGCGCCCTAAATGGGCCGCCTTCGGACGTGCAGGAGCAAAGTCAAAGTCAAAGTAGGCCCAGATAGCCAGGCAGAGTCCCACGACCTGTTGACATGCGACTGGCTGGAAAAAGAATGTACGCAGCCTGCACAGCCTGCATACGGCACCTCCACAGCGCGCACAGCCAGCTGACACCAGCGCCGGTGCGCTCTGCCAGCTGACAACTTGCGCATAACCAGCTCACCCCACCAACACCCAGGACCACGATCTTGCGCGTACAAAATTATGCGCACAAAAGCATGAGCGCAAACAGCAAAGCCCGTAAGCGTGGGTGGCCCAAGGCCAAGCAGCATCCAGCGCCACTATTGACTTTGTAGCATGCTTGAAGCAACGATCTGTAGAACGATAACGCCATATGATCTCGCGCGCATAGTTTATGCGCACAAAAAAATGCGCGGAACCGGCAAGCCCGTGGGCTGCACTCGCCCAAGGCCAAGCAGTATCCAGTGCGACAATTGTGTGTGTAGCATGCCGAAACATGCTGAAACAATGGTCGGTTGAGCGCCTGACGTTGCGACGTGCAAAAGTATGCGCACATACTCTACAGTTGCACCCAGCACCGGTACCCAGCACCCAGCACCAGCACCCAGCACCCTCTCCCCCCTTCACAGGCACGGCTGCGAGGCTCAACCGAAATGGGCTTCCCTGCCACCTCCGAACACGCCCACACCACCCGCCCGAGAGCACGAGGTCACTGTCCCAGGCGGGCCGACAGGCGGCAGCCTGGCTGTTCACGACCCCTGCTGAACCAGGCACTGCTTTGCCACCGCTCATGCACTTGGCTGCGTCGCTGTGTGCGCAAGAGGTGTGGCGCACGCAGGGCGGCGCAATACGTGAGCGCAGGTGGGGGAGCATCATGTAATAGGCCTGCATGGTCTTGGAGCCGGTCGGCCACCTGCTGGCGACAAATTCCGGAGCACCGATCGGCGTGCCAAGGACAATGAACCCCCGTTGGGTCAGGTCCCGGTCGCCCCGCCAAACATCATCCCCCAGGGAGGCGATCCAGGAAGATGGCCGCTCGGTTGAAGACTTTGTCTTAACTCAGTTTAGCGACGACCCCAGTGAGTCATTCGACGTGGGCAGTGACGAGGTCAAACACGGCCCGTGCTCGCTCCGGCCGGCTGACGATGTCAAGATCATCCGAGTATGCTGCTATAAACTCATCATCGTGGAGCTGTGTTGCGGCCGCGGAAAAGGCAGCGTGTTGCCCCAGAACTTACAGGGCGGGGCTAAGGCATCACCTTGTTCGCACCCTTCCCCTTTCACTATTTCGTGGCGGTGTCCCTGTTCATGTCATCCCACCAAAGGTATAAGTACTCGTGCGGGCGTAGATGGAGCGCACGAACGGTAGGAGGGACGGAGTAACTTCACAAAGCTTGGTCAGGAACGCAGCCCTGGAAACAGAGTCGTGTGTGCTGCGGCCATCCAAGGAAACGACCCTGGCTCGCGGGCCGAGCTCCGTGGCAACACGGAGCAACGTGGCCAACCCGGCCAACGCGTCCGCCCCTGCCCTGGTTTGCAAGGCGTGCTGGAAAGGTCGCATCGTGCGGCGCCGCAAGGAGGCGCAGCGAAAGGAGGAAGGCCCGCCGGGTCCCGTCTAAGTCCAAACTTGGTAAGTTGTTCAGCTTGGTCTCGCAAATTGGTTTCCTTGCTGGATAGGGGCATGGCAAACACCATTCTCGTCTCACAGTCATTGCCAATGAGGATAGTTGCCAAATCCTTGTTCTCTCCTTGCTTTGTCTCGCTTTGCCCAAAACAGTAGACCACCTGTATTGCAGGAATGCTTCTCCTTCCAACATTACCATCTGCTTCCACAGGGCGTTGTGCGTCTGCCATGCCTTTACAGGCAATGCAAAAGTCGCGCCAAGCGCGAAAGGGCACGTGAGCCAGCTCGTGCAAAGCAATCTCCTGTTCACTTGGCTGCCGAGGAACTGAGACAAGGGCATGGCAGGCTGCGTCTACGGCAAGCAGCCAGGTGCGAACTGCAGCAATGGCAAGGGTCGTGGAATGGCAGGACAAGGTGAGACAACTTGCGCTGTGCTAACACTCCTCGACCAGACTGTCCCCCCGCCAACGGAGAAAAAAAACACACCAGCGTATCACTACACAATTTTTCAAGCAGTAGCCTGTGGCCGAGAAATTGAAAGCACTTGAGAGACATGAGGCTCGTGTATGTACTGCTTTTTGACATCCAGCCTCAACCACGGCAAACACATGCACACCATCATGTCGAGCGCACCTGAACATAGCAAAATAGTTTCCGAAGAGCGCAGAAAATTTCGGAAGAGCGCAAATTAGTTTCTGATGACCGCGAAAGAGTTCCTCAAGATCGCGACATAGTTATTATTGAAACTAGTTTCTGATGAGCAGCTATGGAAAAACACCAAATAGTTACGGATGAATATTTTTACAACATGCGGAAGAGGTAGCTGTTTCGGGGGAGAGCCTGGAGGTGTTGTTGCGAATATGGTGTTCGACGAAGGCGGGCGAGCCGAGTGAGGCTCCATGCACGACGATGCTTTTGTGGTAGTAGTCTTGATGACGGCGGGTGTGCGACTGACAGCCTGAGGTGTTCCAGACGTGGGTTTTCCCGGTGTGTCGGTGAATGCGGGCATGCCAGGGGAGTTGGTAAACGCGCTGGACGTGGTTCGGGCAAAGTTTTGCGTGATCTTCTCTGGCAACCTCACGGGCTCTTCTCTTGAATGACTACCTGTGAGAGCCACGAATTTCTGCTGAAATCTTAAGCTCGACCTTGAAGTTGTCAACATCAAACATTATGTTGCCTCCCTCAAATCCTTCACATTTGACTGCTCAGCCAACCCTTGTTTGGCCTCTGCATCCTCATCCTCCTGTTGTGCTTCTGGTGTACTTCATTAATTTTTCCGTCCAGCAAGATGCCAAAGTTGCTGATCTGCTGAGATATTCTTGACCAAAAATCCCGCGCACCGTAAGGCAACACGAACACATACGTTGCATCTCAACAACTCAACATGTGCATGGAGGTCTGCAGTAGTCCTTCAGAACTTTGGCGTCCAAGAAGGCCTTGTAGTTGATGAGGGCACAGCACCTTTTTTCACACCAAGGTAGGATAGCGGAGGCACAACCCTTTCTGTCCACCCAAAACTGCGCTTTCCTCAGAGTCGTTATCAATTTCTCATTCTCACGAGAACCGTCTTGATCTTGGGGTTCAAACCATCTTAACACCAAAGTTGGGGTCCTGGTGCCATCCTTCATCTCGTCAGCCATCTCCTGCAGCTTTGAATCATGCGCGAGTTGTTGGTGTGATTTCCTCTGACTCCAGTGTGCCCTCTGGTAACGTTAGCAATTCCGCCTCACACGCTGGGATAAACATTGTTCGGTCATACCCTGCGCGGGGTTCAGTGGCGGCTCATGGGCCAACCATAAGTAGAGGGCTACATCGTCGCAGTGGAGGCGAGGGCAAGCCGAGCAAAACGGCACGCATGCATCGGCACTGGTAACGAAATGTCAGCAATGCAGTTCGCTGCCTGCAAGTAAAAAAGATGTCAACCCTGTATGGTCAAAAGTAGGACATGACATGAACATATATCAACCATTTCTGGGGGTAACCTGCTGGGCTGCCTGGGACACGCGCGGCATGTACCTGCGAACGTTTTCGAGTCGTTCCACAAGAATTGGTTCTGGTTGTGTTGGCGGCGGTGGTTTGTTTGCATCGAAGGTGGACTGTTTCGCAGCCAGGGGGTCCGGTGCCAGACAGCATCCGGCCGCGCTTTCCAGATCTTTCTAGGGCGTTTGGCAGCCAGCAAGGCATCTGATGGGCACCCAAAGCAAAACTATATGTAAGTGTATATATATATATTTATATATGTCTTTTGAAGAAGCAATCATTCCGCTGCTTACCCGGATGGAGAAACATAGCATTGTAGTTTGCAGTTTGTGATTCACGCTGTATGGTTTCCTGCCGGTTCTGACCAACAACTACGCATCCAACACTGGAACCCTGCATGCAAGCATTGAACAACATTCTGTTCTTGCCAGTGTGCTTGTGTGAGGCGGCGTATTCAAACTTAAAAGACAGCTGATAGAATCTCAGCCAGAGCTCCCCAATAGCATGAAGTATGTTTGTTTGTCAGAATTTACCTGTGGCCTACATGTTGCATTTGTGAAGTTTCGCCCAGGCCAACTGCAACCGAGCAACTTCACAATTCCTTGGACACTTCCAAGAATAGAGACGTCGCGTGCACTCACCCAAAGGGCACGCGAAAGTGAGCAGGGCCTACTGTTTGTTCGGGTTCAGACAAGTTGTAACGTGACCTTCCCCTCCATCCAGTCAGAAACCCTGTCAACAAATCAGGACCCTTCAACTTCCTGAGTTGAGAAACCTGCCTGGAGTCCACATGGAGCTGGTATTGAGGATGACTTTGGTGGTTGTGTTCGTTCCCCTCCAGACGTAGCTAGATTGTTAATACGTTACCTTTCAATGCATTCTTATGAAGGTTGGCGAACTTTCGTAACCTCGTTCGAGCACCCACGACCAACCACATGCAAAAAGCCTAGGAGTCCTACGGGCACTTTGCGGTGCAAACTGGCGCATGAGCTCGTCTTCCGGGTCAAACAAAACTCAGATTGGCGGCGCATCCGTAGAGCCACTAGGACGTGGGCCACTTGACCGAGCTGGTGGTTTTCTGTGATGACTGTTTCACACCAGCCAACGGACAAAAAGACATTCGCATCGAGTTGAGCCGCTCCGAGCAACCGAAGGAACCCCAAGTTGGGTGCCTAAAGGGAGGTTCCCTCACTCGGGAAGCGAGGAAGAACTCTCCGTCTAGGTCATCCAGTGCCAGGCCTCATTGCCAAACAGGCTCAGCACGGAGTTGGACTTGAAGTCCGTGAAGTGCAACACAATGGTGAGGAGACTCTCGAAGGACTCGATGGAGGCACAAGAGCAAGAGGAGACAGAGATACAAAGAGCAAGAAACACTCCAAAGACAGAGGCACAAAAGCAGGGCCAGGCTGCACAGCGGTAAGAATTTGTCACGCTGGCTGGCACACATAGCACACGGAGGTACTCCTCCACCCGTATCCCAAAAACAGTGAGTCTCCAAGAACTGGGCACTCCTCATCGCTGCGGGCAATTTTCGCCAAAGCGGACACAGAGCACAAAAACATTCGGATGGTGTCACCTCCTAGACTAGGCCAAGCTTGCAAAGTTGATCCGAAGAGAAAGTACCCACTGTGCCAAGTTGAAGCAGCATCTCGCATCACAACGGACAAAAGCATTCACAAAGCTAAGCAAAGGATTGCAAAAAGAATCTCCCTGCTCCCGTCCTCCTTTGGTGAAAGCTAGTCTGGCGCTGGAGGACTGATAGCATGCAATGTCTGCTGATGTGATTGCACATCTTTTTCCCAGGGCAGTCACAACCACATGTGGGCAGGAGGGGAGGCTTCCTCACAAGACCCGAAGGCTATTGGCAGCATCCAGATCTGCAGCCCTTGTCAGCACTCAACGCAAAACAGCCCGCACTCAAGCCCAGGGGGTTGCTGCCGCCTGGTCTTGTCAATTCCTCCTCGTTTTCGTCCAGACACGTCCCACTAGTGCAGCACACAACAACAATGTTTGAGTAGGTGAGTAGGCGACCTTCTCCGAGGCTACATCAGGTGTGCAATTCAGCCCGTTAGCTGAAGAACCTGCGTTGGTGGGTCCCCATCTTTTCGCGCGACCAATTGCCGTCTTTGTCTCAGCGAGAAGCCGACGCTTTTATTACTCCAGAATCTTCAGGAGCATGGCCAGAAAGGCACGACATGGTACATGAGGAGGAACGCACAGCAAACCCACCCGTACACATTCATTATTGTTGATTGCATGGTGAACTGTCCATGCTACACCTCTGGAAAGAAAACAGGCGCAGGCTTCGGATGATGGACCGAACTCTAAGGAAGCATCGCATGATATGGTTCAAAAGTTGAAATGCATCACCTGCCAGTGGAGACACGGTCGATTTACATAGGTCAAAAGAATCTCACCTTGTCGCCCGCAAACCTGCCTGACTGACTCTGCACACACATTGCAACTGACGGCATGCCATTTCCACATGCGGCTAGGTTGGAAAGCCACCCTGGCCCCATGATCTAAATCTTCGTGACCTTGACTCCGCGGCAATGGTACTTAAAGGGCAAATCAATAGGCTCGAACTGCAGCCGTCAAAAGGCTGAGCTGGCAATTGAGTTTGGCCAATTGAATTATTGGGATGCTATGAGATTCGCTTTATTCGTGCAGCACCCTAGAGTGTGCATTTAGAGGATGGATGCTATCAAACCAAACCCGCAGAGTGGCATGCTTCGGCCTGGTGGCGCTAAGGTGGTTCTTGGTGGTCAACAGGAATGCAAGGGCAGGGATTCAAGGGATTCACTGGTGGCATTCGATTGAACTTTTGACTTGACGCAGGTTCTTCAATTCAAGCTGCAATCAGAAACAGGGCAGTTGTCTATTTGTCCGTAGTTCATGAGCCTTCTTTGGATTGGTCCTTATGCAATTTCTCCTTGCCTCTACATAGCTCTGCCTTGTTGCGGCCTTTGGGTGAATGGATTTGTCTATCGTGCTTCCCTGGTCATTGCTCTACCTTTGCGGTGGTGCTTGCATTGACTCTGGATCAAGTTTTGGCAGTCAACTTAGTCAACTTGTATAAGTTCGGTCATCCTACAATATGTGTTCCTTTCACCCCATGTGCTCGATTACGTGTTTACTATATTGCTGTTTCGTCCTGTTTCGTCTAGGCCTCCACGATCATTGACCCAGTACGGCCATTGGCTCCAAGCACGGCAACGACCGGCCTGGCTCGATTCACTAAGGTGAAAGAAACTAATGAGTATATGTTTTGTTGTCTTTTTTAATGCCCGTTGCCCTCACTACTAGCTACTGGACGCAGGAAAGCTCACGCGTCTTCAATGCAGTTCCTAGATTTTTAGGGCTCGATGTTGAGCAGCAAAATCAATTCCTTTAATTTTTCACCTGCCTGCCGGCACCTTCAGCTTTCAGTACTAAATGTTCTCCTCGCTGTCGTGGTGGCATCCCCCCAGTGAAAGCACCTCAACTTGAGAAGGGCAGTCGGATCTGCAGTAGGTATGTACGTTTATTGTACAATGAAGCTGTGCTCGCCAGTTGAATTTTGTTCTGAACATCTGTACAAGACCTGATATGCACAACATTCTGTAGCTGCCTCATGCTTATATGGGTGGATTGAAGCGAAAAATCATACCTTGACTGGCCCATTTGTTGACCAACTGCTGATCCTACGATGACTTGCATTGCTGATACTGTTCTGCTATCGTTAAATAACTAACGTGTTTCTGATCTCAATTGAGGGGCTCATGTTCCGATCAATTTGTCAGTAAAGTTTATGCCCAAGGATATTTTTGGATGCAATGACAAGTGGGATGCTTACAGTCTTGCAAGGCACTGGCTGACGAACAATCCCACCGTTGCACTGGGATCTACGTGCAAACATTCCAGGATCAAATTTCAGGCACCTTGAAGAGTGCATCTGCTCAGCATAATCTTTGAACAGTGAGTGTGTAAATCCAGAATTGCCGCATTCCCTACCCACTAATGAACAAATTTATGAATATTCGTCGAAATTGATTTGTGTTTTGCTTGACATACAGTTTTTACTCGTGATGTTTGTTATGCTAAAGCGTTACTTATGCATTCTCTGCTTTTAAAGACCGATGGATAGCAGCTGATCCCCAGGATACACATATAATTTTACATATACTGTATATATACTGTGTATACATTATATTGTTCTTTTGAATTCATGAACACAACCACCACATTTCGAGATCGATAAACGCACAACCCACTTTTCCTTTTTACAACCTCCCTGCAAAGCCGAAATAATTTGTCAGCGAGTATTGACTGCACACAATCAGTTTCTTATTGTGAATGTTTTCGTTGTGGTGGCCGGTCTAAACTATAGTACAGTACAGCGCAATGAGCCAATCCTTTCTATACGGTTTTCGCAACATGGACTTGTTGATGTGCGCAGAATATCAGGGCAAAACAACTTTGCGCATGCCCACGCATAATTGCTTTACCCCGGTCTGTTCAGTAAGTGAGGGTTCTAGCAAACTGTTTCGCCAGAACTCCAATAACCGGTGTGCATGTAACGCTTATCGAGCTGAAGTAAAATGTCTGCATGCCAAACCACGAACTGTACAATCGTTTACTCTCCCTGTACACCCAGTATGCGTTTTTTGCTTAGGTGAATATGTTTCAGAGAATGGAAATGTTGTAGATAAAGGCGGAGGGACAAGTCTGGGTGGGGTTATATATATATATACATATATTGTTGTGTATATATATATATGTGTGTGTGTCATTTTCGTTCGCGTACCCCGTCGCCTGACATCGAGCCACCTCCTCTCGTTATACAGTTTGACCCTACAACATATAGATATTCATACCTGCATCATCCTTGGCTTCGCCTCAAGACTCCAACCGTCCCAATTTGTTTTCTATTTTGGTCTATCTCAGCCTCTGGATGCTTAACATTCGGAATAAACAACGTGAAAACATGCCGGAAAACAAGCAAGAGATGCAGTCAAGGAACATCCAATGGTGCAAGTGACAACTGCCAAACACATGGAAGCCTGAGTGCACGCGACCAGGCATTGCCTGCTTGCAGTGACTAAAATGAACGAAAAATCATGCACCTAGGCACCCGGCAAATTGGTCCCACATTCGCATCTTCATGGTAAATTGCAAGCAGATTGATGCAAAAAATAATATTGTGTATATATATATATGATATGATTTCGTGTCACTGCAGCAAGCCACTACCCAAAAATGTCTATGGTCTGGTTGTTGCGCCAACCGTTTCTGCTTTGGTTGCGCAATGCCACCACAAAATCTACCTTGAGTTCCTTGCTTCTGTCCGATCCGGAATCAAAGCAAAAACAATGCCACCACAGTGCCACTTTGAAACTTACATTCAACAATGAACCACACATGTTCAAAACTATTTCCCCAACTTCCGAAGGAGTTCAAACTCAAACAGAATTGGCCATGGCCATTGCTATTTTTTTGAAAAACCGTGCTTAATCACCACAACCGAAGACCCCTTGCAGTCATAGTACACGCCTGGATCCATTACTCAAACATGCTCAACTCTGCTTCATGGTGGGCATTTCAATACATGGGTTCTCCAATAATTGTGGCAATTTGTTGTGTCAAAAACACGCACGTCAACACCAAATATAACATCGTTGGGGTTCGCAAACATGTTTTTGTTGTTCCACTGTATGTGATAGAGTCCCTTCCTGGGCTGCATGCGCAGTGTGGGCCTTTGACCAATGCTGATAGCCCCACTGGGCCATGAGAATGAATGCCAGATGACTTTGTGACACTGTGACCAACTGTTGCTCGTTTGTCTTCGAGTGGGTCAAAAGGTGTGCGTCAAACGTGCCCAAGAACTTCCTCGTGTGGGCTGCGCAGCAGGTCATTTTTCCTTACATGTGTACGTAGCTTGGTAACATTAAAATGTTCAAAAATTGAAAATGCAATTCCCTTAATCAACGGTTTCCGTTTGAAGCGGCATTCTTTGGACAAATGCGTCATCATTAATTTTGGTTTTGCCTCGAATTCTGACTGAAAAAGGTCTTCGAGGAAGCAGCAAGCAAAGGAGTCCGGGGGCGGGTTTTTGTCAGTTCCCTCCCTTGAACTGTAAATGCACATCGAATTGAAATCGTTCAAAACAAGAAGACACCCGAAAACTTTGTTTTCTAAAGCCTAGTCATGACTACATTTTTAGTTATCGTCTTCGACGAGTCGCGTCGTCATCAATAAGCTTGGTGTCTTCATGAAGCTCAAAGATTCGCTGCGCTCCTTTTTGACACATGGGGGGTTTCACGGTTTGATTTCCTCTTTTCTTTCTCGTGAAGCACCACATAAAAACTTATATTATAATAGTCTTATATGTCTTCAACTCTTCAAGCGACAGGCAAGTCCAGAAGCATCAATGTCATCTGTGAGCAACTGGTGTTTGCAACAGCGCGAGGCAAAGTCGCTAAGGTTTGCTTCAGTTGGCACACGCGCAAACCAAGCGCAAGCGCTAAATTTCGTCTCAACCTCGAGATGAAATCGCACAACCGTCTCCGAGCAAAAGCTATAGCACTGGAACATCGAATCAAAAAGAACCTAACACCGTCGCTGTCGCCAAACCATGTGACTAGGCAGCCTCTCACCCGCTCTCCCCAAAAGTAGAGCGCAACCACAGCTGCAGCCATCTCTAGCTCAACGATTCCCGTTTCTTTGTCACTGCTTCCGATTCCAATCAAAACACAATCTTCTAAGTTGAGCCTGAATCCAAACCATTCGACGCACTTGCCAGAGGAGGAATCAATAAGAACGACTTGAAGTCGGGTCATCATTGCCATAAGGCCATTAGAGAATGTTTCGTATTGTTGTTACAGGCGAACGACCGAAAAGCGCCAACTAGTCGCACCTGTTTTGCCTTGAGCCAAAGTACAAGTAAGTGAGACATGTATACGACACACTAGCGTGAAACAACACCGCCCGCTGAACGAAAATGGGAGGAGTGAAGTTATGTACAGTGCATTAATTAAGGACCTACGAAGGTATCCGGTCCCCCGGTACGTGCGAAGCAACGAACCGTATCGTGCCTTGAGATGGACAGGATGATTGACCTCAAGGACGAATCAAAGGAAGCACTGTCATGTTTTGATGCTAATGTTGAACATGTTACATTTTGATACATGCAAGCAAGCTCAACGCATACTGTCGTAAAAGACTCTTTTTGGCGCAACGGAACTGGAAGTGCATTGCCAACCTTTTAGAAAGCAGGAACAAAGCCATCAAGGCACACGCTCCCGCGCGGCGACAAAGCACAACAAAAGAAAGTGCGCTTCTGAGTGCAAGGATTGAGAGCTAAGTTCATCGACTTGAGCTCAACCGAATTAGCTGCTGGTTTCAGGCATCCGGTCCCCCGGTGCATCACAGAAACGGTCATCACGGCAACCGCTCCCGCGGTGCGATGAGGGAAAACACAGTGCACAATGACAGCCATGTCACCCGTAGATTTCATTATCTTCTCCACAGGCAACGGCTCCCGCCGTGCGTCGTGTTCACCATCGGCGCTGACTCCACCAGTCATGTCCTCGCCAGTCACTGCCACGACTGCGATCATCCTGCCACCAGTTGCGAGCGGATGAGGACCACCATGAGGATGATGAGGATGACTGCTGCCAATCGTATGATTGGTCACTTCCGGCAGCCCCCCGCCAACAATGCTCCGCTGTCTCGGCCTGTGCTCAGTGAAGACTTCTTCATTTACTGGAAAAATAGGCTTCACCGTCCTGAGACATTTGCTGCGGATTATTGCCAAGGTGTGAAACGCCCTGCCATTCTTGGTTTTGGTGGGGAATGGCAAAGTGAGAAGTCGGACCCCGATGATGTTCTGGACGAACTCCTCGAGTTTGTGATGGGCGATGCTCAGTTTGTCCCTGGCCTCAACATCAATCTTGTCAAAGAGACCCGTGCGCTCGTCATCCCGAAGGCCAAGGCTGCACCAGGACCAGGTGAGAGTTTGGCAAGAGCAACACGGAGTCTGCATCTTCTCCTTGGGTCGGTTCGTTCATGAAAATGACCTTTCCAGCGTATCTGTGTCCGATGCCTTGGGAGATCATCTCTCTTGTCCTCGGAGGGTCAGGGATGACAGCATCAGACAAGCGCTCAAGGAACTGGATGCAGATCGGCGACAGGTCCTAGGCTGCACAGTTGAATGCATAAAATGCATCAACAAGTTGCCTCTGCGAAACAGTCAGGCGCATCTTTTCCGCCTCCTGGACATGGCTTTTGGCGTTCGCTTTCAAGATGTTGATGCCCGAACGTGATGCACGTGGTTTCTCCTGGCCAGGCGTCCCCGCCGGCGTCTTCCTCAAACCTGAACCCTGCAACCTGTCATCGGGGACCATGTCCATCGTGACTTCAATTCCAAGGTCGTTTGCAATCTCCTCGATCCGGATGAGCTGAGCAGCCTTACACAGATCGGAAGCATTGTTGACGAAGGTGCCGCAATTAGTGCAGGACATCGTGCCATGGGTAAAGGTATGCGTGCACGTCGGACACTGATCTTCTGGCATCTGAATCCCTTCAACGACCATCCAGCGAGCGTTGCCATACCCTTCGGTCTCGGGGTGGGCTTTGCGCCAATCAAACCGAGGACGGTTGTAGTTCGGCAGCATCTCTTTGGGCGACACCTGATTGCGGTAGGCGTTGAAGTTGGGTCTGCGAACGATGTACATGACCTCATAAGTCTCCAGATCAGTGTTGTGTTTCCCGGAAACCATCCGGTCCTTCACACCAGGGCGTTCATGCAGTTCGCCGTACACAAACGGTGAGAAAGTGTCCACTTTGCCACACCAACTCTCATAGTTCCCAAGAACCTCATTGGTGTACTTTTCAAAAGGACTCCTCACCATATCGTTGTCATCGGCATCTGGTCCCCCAGTGCGTGCGGCCCTGAAAGGTTTAGAAACCTGGAGATCAGCATTGTCTGAGATCCACAGGTGTTTGCCTCAAACGTTGGAGGTCAGTTTTGCGTGAGACAAAAAACCTAAAGGTGAAGCTGCTTTTGATACACTTTTTGAATTTACTTTTTGGCTTCAAAAGAGGAGCCGTACATGTCGGCTGGAGGCCAAAAGCAGCTTCTCATTTTCTGGCATTTTTTTGACCGTCTATGTCAACAGGCTCGCTCGCGCAGATAACCGGAAAGTGTGACATTGACTTGAACTAGAGGAAAAGCTCCAAACATCAAAGCTTTTTTAAAAATCGATACACTGCAGTCACGTACATGCACCATTTGTCACAAAAAAATCGTTAAATCATTAATTAATTAAGTTGGTTTTTTTCTATTAAAAAAATTAGTATTTGAAAGATCAAACTTAACGAATTAACGATTTAACGATTTTTTTGCGCTATCTATTTTGGCACGTTTTTGTTTTCATTACTGTGGCTTGCTGGCAATTGCGCTAAGCTGTAACCAGAAGCCATCAATAGAGGCCGAGCCAACTCCAGCGAGCATTGAATGAAAGAAAACAAACCTTTTGCAGACACTCCTGGGGGAACAGAATTGGTCCTCAGTTGTCACGCCCATTTCAGAGTCCCACTCTTTCATCCAGCATTCTGCCACCTCCGGCCCATGGTTCCACCTGCGCCAGCAGCAAAACACGCTCTCGACGACGCAAAATAGTGCCCAGTTCCCTGTCCCCAGTTCCAGTTCCCTGTCCCAGTTCCCTGTCCCCAGTTCCCTGTCCCAAGTTCCCTGTCCCCAGTTTGCCGCCCCCATTCTTTTTTTGCACGGGTAAGAAGCACAAGTCACCGTGATGAATTCAAATGAGGGGTGCGAGGAAATGAGCCTGACCAAAGGAAGCAAAGGAACCAAAAGGACCAAAACACCCACAACCCAACAACAAAGCACCAAAACAAACCCAAACCAACCACAAAACCCAAGCAGATCAGGCTCATGTCCGCTCAAGACGTAAAAAAGCAAAAGGTGCAGATCCGAAGACCATACACAGGAGTGAAACGGGGCGATGAATTCCTTTCAAGCTGCTCTCAGTACAGGACGTCCAGGACGAGACTGCATTCTGCTTGTTGGCTGGCAGGTATCCCACAGGAGATGCAATGCGTATCAGTATGCATGAGCGAGACTGAAAGCAAGAGTGAGGTTCAAATCAGGTAGGTCGACAATGACTT